CTCTCTCTCTCTCTCTCTCTCTCTCTCTCTCTCTCTCTCTCTCTCTCTCTCTCTCTCTCTCTGCCCGCCCTTTCCTTCCCTATCCGCCCCGTCTTCCTCCTCTTCGCCCCGCCCCCCTCCTTCCACCGCCGTTTCGGCCCCAGGAGTTCGGCTCTGACGGCCGCCCCCCCTGCAACGCGGGGGCAGGGAGCGATGGCCGCGGCCACCAGCAGCAGCAGCAGCCCATTGGGCCCCGCAGCAGCGGGGCCTCGGGGCCGACTGTCGGCAGTGTTCACAGCGAAATCTGGGAAGGTTTGGCGACCTGTGGGTGGTCAGGCAGAACCCTGGAAGGGTCCTTGGGCCCTTGTGCCAGAGGGCGCCCCCGCAGCAGCGGGGGCTGCGCCGCCTGGCGTTTCAAGCTCAGCAGCGGCGGCGCGATCAGAAGTTTCTACGATGCGCACCCGCCCAGGCGACCCCGTGGTGGATCCGAGCGATGACGAAGAGCCTCGGGAATTTAGGGGCTGCAAGCCGCCCGACGACGTCGAGCGGCGCAACTGCGTTCTTCGCGACACCGTCCCGCCGAAGATATTCTGCGAAAGAAGAGCGGCTGACGTGAACAGGCCACGGAACGACAACGTGGGCAACTTTTCCGTCCTGTTCGGGAACTGGGGCCCCATGCCGAGCGAGACCAACCACGCGGACCAGCGGCGGAGACTTGAGTTGCAGCTGCGGCATTGCCCTGCTCTCGCGGCGTGCTTTGCGGAATGTGAGGGGCAGATGGAGTCAATCCTACAGCGGCCAGGGAAACCACCGCCGCTGCAGGCGGACGCCCCCGCAGCAGCGGGGGCGTCAGCAGCGGAGGGCCAAAGCAGCAGCAGCGGTGGGCCTTTTGTCGCCCCCGCAGCAGCGATGGCGACAGCAAGAGGAAGTCGTGCTGCGAGTGTTGGCGATTGCCAACAGCTCCAGAATCGACCAGAGTACGAATACTTGACCCTGCGCGGGCGTGAGGACAAGTCCTTGTGCATCGCTGCGCGCGCAAATCTGTGTTACGAAATGCGGCTGCTCCACTGGGGAAGGAGTGTCGACGGCTACTACAAAACAGCAAGAGGGCGCAAGATGGAAGCGTTCTCGAGGATCCTGGTGGTTGAGATCTACTTCGATCAAACCTACGCCCACTTCGGCTCGAAAGTGCGGGCGTGCGCGGTGCACCTCCACCGCGACGCGGCGAAAAATTCCAAAGGCTTCAACGAGGCTCACAAGGCGTGGTGGCGGAGGTTGGCGACCATCTTGCAGGACAACAGCGTTGACATCCTTTGTGGGGATTTCAACATGGCGCTCACACAGACGCTGCCGAGTCTTCGGGGTCTAGGCATGCGATTGGAGACGGCAGCAGCGTACTTCTGGCGCGGATTGGACGGCACTCCGTGCTTGGACAGCTGCGGCATCTTCGTTCTCAACAGGCCTGGCGAGTACACCCTGTGCTGGCCGCTGAGCGCCGTGCACGACAGAGACGAGACGGGGTTGCTCTTCGCACGCAAGTCGGTGATCGGTGAGATCGGGTACCGTAACAGAAGCAAGGCAGAGGCCCCCGCAGCAGCGGGGGCCTCCACCAGCCCATCATCGCAGCCGACGCACTGGCACCACAGCCAGAACGGAGGCCCTGGGATGCCTTACTCTTGCTACTACCCGAAAAAAGACGCCCGCGAGCACCTCCAGGATTTACTGACTCAGTCAGAGGAATGCCAACGCAAGATCCAAGAGAAGGAGCGCGAGAAACTGAGGCGCGCCGAGGCTGAGGCTAGAGGGGACCACCGCTTCTCTCGTAATCGCGAGGTGACCCTCTTCCGCGCGTTGCAGAAGACGTTCCCGCCAGAGACCGTGGAGGTGGAGGGGCGCTGGCACGGCGGCGCCCGCTACCCTCTCCTGTTCCAAATGCGCATGGCCAGCGTGCGTTCGCAGGGGAGGAAGCAGGAGAGAGCCAAAGAGAAGAAGGACAGGCGCGCCCAGAAACAGCTGGCAGCTGCGCTCAGGGCGCCGCTGCCGCCCGAGCAGCACGGACCCGAGCGCCGGGCACCAGAGCAGCACAGCGAGAGGGGCGAGCAAGACGAGCGCGCCCAACAGGCGTGGCGCCCACCAAGATGGGCAGACGAAAACGCGGGCGACGGCCGCGACAGGCCCGCGGCTGGCGATGGAAGGTCGCGGCGGGGGGTTGAAAGGGGGGGGGGGGGAGAGGGAGGGTGGAGCACGGGGAGGGCAGGAGGGAGGAGAGGGAATGAGGAATAGGCTGAGCAGGACGAGAGATGACATAAGGAAATGAGTGTCGGGAAGGGGCGGGAGTTGAAAGCGAGGGGATAATTATAGAAATAATTACTTATCACCCCCAAGGTGGCAGCCGACCCCGCAGTGCCCATCTCCAGGGCCTGCGCCGCTGGAGCAGCGAGGGCAGCGCGGCGCCGCCAGCTACATCTCGGACGCGATCGCTGCCCTCGGCCACGAGCCGCCAGAGCCCCCGCAGCAGCGGAGGCCACAGACGCCACGGCAGCAACCAACAGACGGGGAGTGGCGCAGGGATGAGTGGTGGCGCACCAAGGAGGGCGAGGAGCGCGAGTGGCAACAGCCGAGCGGCGAGGCTTCCTCGCTGCAGGACCGCATGGTCGACTCCGCCTGGCGCGACATGCAAGTTGCATTCGGCAGCGACCAACGCCCCAGTGACTGGTGGAGCAGCCACAGTGGGTGGAGTAGCGGCCAGGGGCACTGGGAGGCCACGAATTGGAGGTGGGTCGAACACCCCCCCGAAACCAATCCCTGGGAAAAACTTAGCTGAACCATCGCACAGGAGCCGCCCCTCCGCAGCAGCGGAGGGAGGCCTCATCGGCCGAACGTCGACCCTCCGCAGCAGCGGAGGCCTTGCCAATGCATCGCGAGCGGCGGCGACTCGCGCGCGCCGTCGTGCTCGGCGACCGCTGCCCGAGCGGAGAAGGAAGAAGAAACGGTGCTTTCATCGGTGCTGTCGTTGCCTCCTCTCCTTCATCGTTTTCTTCTCCCTCCCCCTCCAATCCCCCATCCCGCCATCACACGTTATCGTCTCCAATCGTATCGGGAGCTCCCGTGGCAGAAGAGCACCCAGAACGAGGTCCTCCGTGACAGAGGGGGGGCATCTTAGACCCCCTCTGTGACAGAGGGGGGCATCTTAGACCCCCTCTGTGACAGAGGGGGGCCAAAAAACAAATGATCACTTTAATGCGGCTTCTGGATTAGAAACTACACCAGCTACCTGCGGCAAGTTCCGCCATCGTACCAGCCCGGCATTCTGGGCGGCGATTGTTCGAGGAGCTCACAGGAAGTCGTAACATTTGACACCTCGTGCCCCGAGGCTTTGGATAACCCTAACATGTTGCACGCTCTTCCGCGAGGTGTCAGGATGCCGCTCTTTCTAAATCTCTCTCTCTCTCTCTCTCTCTCTCTCTCTCTCTCTCTCTCTCTCTCTCTCTCTCTCTATATTGTTTCACTCTCTCTCTCTCTCTGTCTCTTCGCCCTCGTCGTCTTCTCCCGTCCCTATTCGTCCCTCCTCCTTTCTGTTGGCCTCTTGGATGCCTCGTGGGGGCGGCCTGGGTGCCTCTCGGGACCTCGCGGGGCCTCGTGGGAGCTCCTTGGGACGACATAGGGCCGCCTCGAACCGCATGGCACAGTCGCAGTCCACCTTGGAGATCTCTCTTGATCCTCGTGGTGCACTGAAGGATCGTCCTGGAGGGTCTCTTGGGCCGTCTTGCAGGCCTTTTGGGTCATCTTGGGTGCCTCTTGGGTGTTTCCTGCCCTGTCTTGAAGGCCTCTTGGGCTGTCCTGTGCCAAGGGAAGCCTGAGAAGGCGGAAATCCGAAAACCGTTCAAATCCTTGTAAGAACATGAATGGTGTTCACCCCTTGGGATTGAGCGGTCTCAGGGGGTCGCGTGGGCTCTTGAGGCAGTATTGGGCCCATCATTCGCCGTAGTGATAACTTCTGGTCCATGCTGGCGGCTCTTTGGTCTGCATGGGCCGTCTTGGAAGCCATCCTGGGCATCTTGGGCGCCTTGGAGAGCGACAGGGAGGCGTCGGAGCGCCAAGGAACCGTCAGATGAGTGGGGTGGGGCATGCAACGAAGCGCGACTGAGAGGAGTGGGGCCCCTTCGAATGGAACAGAAATCCCGCCAGTCAGCACAACGCCGCAACGCGCCAGGGGGCAGGGTGGCGGACTGCCAGAGGACACCCCGACGTCCGGGGTCATGATCTGTTCGAGGCGTGAGCCCCTAGAGCTCTGGACCACATATTTGGACTTGATTCTCGGCATGGGCCCTCATCATCATCATCATCATCATCATCATCATCATCATCATCATCATCATCAGCAGCAGCAGCAGCAGCAGCAGCATCAGCATCATCATTTTCAGCATCAGCATCAGCATCATCATCATCAGCATCAGCATCAGCATCAGCATCAGCATCAGCATCAGCATCAGCATCATCATCATCATCATCATCATCATCATCATCATCATCATCATCATCATCATCATCATCATCATCATCATCATCTTCCTCCTCCTTCTCCTTCTCCTCTTCCGCGTGGGCCCAGGGGCTTGGAACGGGCATCTTGAGCCCGAAAACGTGGCAAGCTCGGCCGTAGCGATTTGCCGCCGCACTAAAGGTCTGGGCCCACGCGGCCTCAAAGTCGACCCCCAGACATGTCCTGGGGTGCATTCTGCCCAGAATCTCGAGGCGGATCCGGCCGTGTCGACGAGGGCGCCCCTGGGGCTGAGAAACATGTCAAACCACGAGGTTGCCGGCAAGGACGGCGCCGCCTAAAAGAAGCTGCCTCACCACGTCTCATCGAGCCCCCTCGGGCAGGACGAGGGAATCTCGCTGCAGCCCACTAGAGGGGAGGGGGAGGAGGAGGAGGAGGAGGAGGAAGAGGAGGAGGAGGAGGAGGAGGAGGAGGAGGAAGAAGAGGAGGAAGAAGAGGAGGAGGAGGAGGAAAACAAAGAGGACTACGAATATGAAGAAGAAAACACTGGCAAGTTTTTCGAGCGGTGTCCACCCGTGCCCACGAGAACCTCCAGAGTGCCCAAAACTTGTCCATTGAAGGCGCCGGCGTCGATCTGCGCACCTCGATCCTTGATCCTGGGGGGCCACCGCGGCCGCGAAGGTCGTCGGCAAAGACGCCGTCGCCTGGAAGAGGCTGCCCGAGGTGGTGGCGCAGGCGGTTCCCGAGGTGGAGCGAGAGGACCAGCCAGGGGCGGCCGTGAGGGAGCTCAGACAGCGCCAAGGGGGGGCCACCGTTCCCACACTCTGACGACGAGGTTCGAGGATCTAGGTTCTCGGGCGCTCCTGGCCCTTCTTGGGCCTCCGGCGGGCCTCTCGTCGGCCACGATCTGGTTTCCTTCGAAATCCTTGCCAGAACGCACCCCATGACAAGTCTGGAGGGCGATTGTTGATCCCAGAACCTCCCGCAGGCAGAGCCAAGGGGGTTCCCGTTGGAGGAGGAGGAGGAGGAGGAGGAGGAGGAGGAGGAGGAGGAGGAGGGTTTCCTACTATGGTCGCCCGTTTTGGGCACAGCATCGAGGTTCGAGGATCGCGGGGTTTGGGATGCTTGTGGGCCTATAGGAGGCTTGTCGTGGCCACGGATAGATCGACATCGAAGTTCTAGCCAGCACGCAGGCCATGACAAGCTTGGGGGTATATTTGTTTCGACCTTGGTACATCCTCCTCCTCCTCAGCCTCCTCAGCCTCCTCCTCCTCCTCCTCCTCCTCCTCCTCCTCCTCCTCATCATCATCATCATCATCATCATCATCATCATCATCCCCCCTAGACACCAGTCCCCCTCGCGTTGTGAAAACAACAGCACAACACGACGGCCGTCGTTTGGCAGTTGACAGCTTCCAATGGCCCTCACTAGGCCCTGGAATCGTCAAAAACGGTAATGAATGAGACGCCAGTCCCCAAGAAGAGGTAAAGACCTCCAAAGGCCTCTTACATCTGTCTGGGAATATCTTGAGACGACTCTTCCAGGCCTGCTTGGGCCTCTTAGGGGTCTCCTGGGGGCCTCTTGGGGAGTCCTTGCGATCTTGGAGGCCATCTTGGGGTAGGAGGCTCGAAGTATCAGTTCGAGCTCACCCTCTTAGGCCTCTATTGAGGCCGTCTTGGGGGCCTCTTGGGCCGTCTTGCGGCGATTGGGAACCTCTTGGGCCGTCTTGGGCGCTCTCCAGACCAAAAAACAAAAGCAGGTCTTGCATTGAGGGCTCCTCTTGCCCTTCTAAGGCACTGGGACCGCGCCGCGTTCACTTCTCTTGAGAATTGAGCTCCCACCTGGGCGCGGCGCGCACTTTTCGCTCGCGACTTCATGGACGCGCGAGCGGACAAACACGTCGCCCTCGCGCTGCGGTGCCGCGCAGACTGCGCCCGAAAGCGACGCTCTCGCTTGGGCGCAGCGTATATGTTCAATCACGACGTGTGGGGGGCTCGCGCGAGCGGGCGACTCGTTGCCCTCGCCCAAGCTCTGTGCACATTTCGCCTGGAAGTGGCGCTCCCGCGTGGGCTCGGCTCACGCTTTGCTCGCCGAAGTGCGTGAAAGCGGGAGCGGCAGGGGGCCGCGCGAGAGGTGGCGAGTTGTTGCCCTCGCCCAAGCACCGCGCAGCTTGTGAGTGAAAGTGGCAGTGCCTTTGGGCGCGTCGCTTTTGCTTCGGCTCCGCCACGCTCATCGGAAATCTGGCCGCCCGGGAGTGGCCAATTCAGTTCCTGCCTCAGTGCCGCGCAAGGATTTCCTGAAATTGCGTTCCCGCGTTTGCGCGGGCCGCGTAGTTGTTCTCGCGCCAAGTCGTCGGGAGCAGGACTCGACGCGAGCGTCTTCCACTCGTTCGGTGCGACCGCGGTCCGAGTCCATTGTGAGGGTGTACAACAATGGATTCATATGTCATGGCAGGGAGGGTGGAAATGGGTGGGGCCCGCCAGCTCGCTCGACTTGACACTTACTCGCAGTCAGACTCACACAGATAAAGACTCGCTCGCATTCTGGCAGTTCAGACTCATCCACACTCACTCACATCCGGACTCTCTCCCGATCAAACTCAATCGGGCTCAGACAAGTTGGAGCTGCTC